TCCTGCGTCGGGTTCTCGTTTTGAATAGAGCACTGCTCGCGCGTCGCCTTGCCTCCTTCCCGCCCCTTTCTTCCCCCTTGCCTTTTGCCTCGCTCGTCGCTGCGTGCCAGCTGGAGTGCTGCGATCTGTGAAACAGTCGCCACTTTCGAGGCCTGCTGGGGGGCCCAGCACAGTGACGCCACACGCAGATTCAAATTAAACATCGCCATCCCTGGGGGGCTGCGATCTGTGAAACTGTCGCTACTTTCGAGGCCTGCTTGCGGGGCCCAGCACAGTGACGCCACACGCATATTCAATTGGACCTCGCCATCCCTGGGGGCTGCGATCTGTGAAACAGTCGCCACTTTCGAGGCCTGCTTGCGGGGCCCAGCACAGTGACGCCTCTCAAGTAGCTTACACATCAAGTTGATTGTCCATACAAGTTTCGGCCAACTCCTCGTTTCCATTGATACAAATGGGTTGATTACGTCACAGGGTAATTTTTCCCCAGCCCTCCTGCGTTGGGTTCTCGTTTTGAATAGAGCACTGCTCGCGCGTCGCCTTGCCTCCTTCCCGCCCCTTTCTTCCGCCCTGCCTTTTGCCTCGCCCGTCGCTGCGTGCCAGCTGGGGGGTTGTGATCTGTGAAACTGTCGCCACTTTCGAGGCCTGCTGGGGGGCCCAGCACAGTGGGTACTCACGGCAGACTCAAATGGGACCTCGCCATCCCTGGGGGGTTGCGATCTGTGAAACTGTCGCCACTTTCGAGGCCTGCTGGGGCGCCCAGCACAGTGGGTACCCACGGCAGACTCACATGGAACCTCGCCATCCCTGGGGTGCTGCGATCTGTGAATCTGTCGCCACTTTCGAGGCCTGCTGGGGGGCCCAGCACAGTGGGTACTCACAGCATATTCAAATGAGACCTCGCCACCCCTGGGGGGCTGCGATCTGTGAATCTGTCGCCACGTTCGAGGCCTGCTGGGGGCCCAGCACAGTGGGTACTCACGGACTCAAGCCTCGCCATCATCTGTGGGCCACTTTCGAGGCCTGCACGGCTCACGAGACTCAAATGGGACCTCGCCATCCCTGGGGGGCTGCGATCTGTGAAACTGTCGCCACTTTCGAGGCCTGCTGGGGGGCCCAGCACAGTGGGTACTCACGGCAGACTCAAATGGGACCTCGCCATCCCTGGGGGGCTGCGATCTGTGAAACTGTCGCCACTTTCGAGGACTGCTGGGGCGCCCAGCACTTTCGAGTGGGTACTCACGGCAGACTCAAATGGGACCTCGACATCCCTGGGGGGCTGCGATCTGTGAAACTGTCGCCACTTTCGAGGCCTGCTGGGGGGGCCAGCACAGTGGGTACCCACGGCAGACTCAAATGTGACCTCGCCATCCTTGGGGGGCTGCGATCTGTGAAATTGTCGCCACTTTCGAGGCCTGCTGGGGGGCCCAGCACAGTGGGTACTCACAGCAGATTCAAATGGGACCTCGCCATCCTTGGGGGGCTGCGATCTGTGAAACTGTCGCCACTTTCGACTGCTGGGGCGCCCAGCACAGTGGGTACTCACGGCAGACTCAAATGGGACCTCGCCATCCCTGGGTGGCTGCGATCTGTGAAACTGTCGCCACTTTCGAGGCCTGCTGGGGGGCCCAGCACAGTGGGTACTCACGGCAGACTCAAATGGGGCCTCGCCATCCTTGGGGGGCTGCGATCTGTGAAACTGTCGCCACTTTCGAGGCCTGCTGGAGGGTCCCAGCACAGTGGGTACTCACGGCAGACTCAAATGGGACCTCGCCATCCCTGGGGGGCTGCGATCTGTGAAGCTGTCGCCACTTTCAAGGCCTGCTGGGGGGCCCAGCACAGTGGGTACTCACGGCAGACTCAAATGGGACCTCGCCATCCCTGGGGGGCTGCGTTCTGTGAAACTGTCGCCACTTTCGGGGCCTGCTGGGGGGGCCAGCACAGTGGGTACTCACGGCAGACTCGAATGGGACCTCGCCATCCCTGGGGGGCTGCGATCTGTGAAACTGTCGCCACTTTCGAGGCCTGCTGAGGGGCCCGACACAGTGGGTACCCACACGCCGATTCAAATTAGACCTCGCCATCCTTGGGGGGGCTGCGATGTGTGAAACTGCCGCCACTTTCGAGGGCTGCTGAGGGGCCCAGCGCAGTGGGTACCCACACGCAGACTCAGATTAGACCTCGCCATCCCTGGGGGGCTGCGATCTGTGAAACTGTCGCCAGTTGCGAGGGCTGCTGGGGGGCCCAGCACAGTGGGTACTCACCGCGGACTCAAATTGGACCTCGCCATCCCCGGGGGGCTGCGATCTGTGAAACTTTCGCCACTTTCGAGGGCTGCTGGGGGGCCCAGCACAGTGGGTACTCACCGCAAACTCAAATTGGACCTCGTCATCCTTGGGGGGCTGCGATCTCTGAAACTGTCGCCACTTTCGAGGCCTGCTAGGGGGCCCAGCACAGTGGGTACTCACCGCAGACTCAAATTGGACCTCGCCATCCCTGGGGGCTGCGATCTGTGAAACTGTCGCCACTTTCGAGGCCTGCTGGGGGGCCCAGCACAGTGGGTACCCACACGCAGATTCAAATTAGACCTCGGCATCCCTGGGGGGCTGCGATCTGTGAAACTGTCGCCACTTTCGAGGCCTGCTGGGGGGACCAGCACAGTGACGCCACACGCATATTCAAATTGGACCTCGCCATCCCTGGGGGGCTGCGATCTGTGAAACTGTCGCCACTTTCGAGGCCTGCTTGCGGGGCCCAGCACAGTGACGCCTCTCAAGTAGCTTACTCATCAAGTTGATTGTCCATACAAGTTTCGGCCAACTCCTTGTTTCCATTGATACAAATGGGTTGGGTACGTCACAGGGTAATTATGCTCCCATTTCGGGCGTCCAAATGGAAATCCACCAGGTGCCGATCAAACAGTATCTGAACAAAACTGGACCACCTGCGCTGATCTCGCAGAAGAGGGTCGGAGTAGGGTACTGGTACTGAGCTATGCCGTAGTCGTGAAGCCGCCTCGCTCGGATCAAGCACATTCTGCAGAACGAACTGTTCGACCTTGGCGGCTTGCCCGCCCTCCCCCCACACGTCCGCCAGCGGCACGGATGCGGAACTGACATCCGGTAGAGATTGGAGCGCGAGGGCGCGGGGTGTTTCGGCGACGAGCGAAGGGGGGGAAGTGAGGAGGAGAAGTCGGACACTGGAACATATGCATTACCAGTGGCGGGCCGTTTTTCAATCCCAGGACTTCTTGAGGGTCGAGGACGACGCTGGTGTGGTGTGGTGTATACTTTTTTTCGCCGATGTCTTGGGGAAACAACGAAAAATGTATACACCTGGGCCCCGTATACACCAGGATCCGCTCTCCAGTGCAAATTCCAATGCAGGGCTGGAAGAAGCGTCGGTGTATAGAGTTCGATTCCCTAGAAAAGGCCTTCTCGGAAGGCTCGGAAGCCCCCCAGCCCTCTGAGAAGGTTTCTGAGCCTTCCCCGAAGACGGAACAAACTTCCCAGAAGGCGCGAGGGCTCCGCCGCCTTCTGAGAAGGCTTTCTCCTTCTCACTTTCCCCCCTCGCTCGCCGCCGAGAGTTGGTAGGAGGACGTTGGTAGGAGCATGATCGGTCAGATCCGATCTGGCTTGAGCCGTGAGCCAAGAACTACTTGGGCCAAGGGCCCCCAGTATCGTTGAGATGGCCCCAAAAAGGCTCCCAGAAGAGCCCCATTGACGCCCCAAGAGGGTTCGACAGGGCCCCGAGACGCTCCAAGGTGGGCCCAAGACGGCCCCATCTGCCGCCTCAGAGGCCCCCGAGACGGTCAAGGGGGGCCCTTGGTGGCCCCAGAGGGCCCGAACACGGCTCCGAAAGCCCCCGAGACAGCCCCGCCAACTTGCGTCCAAGAGGCTCCGAGGCCGTCCAAGAGTGATTGGGGGAAGCCATGAAGCTCCTGGACGATGCGGCGGAGAAGGGGGCTCAAGGCCGGGCGCCCCCCGCGTCAGCGTCGGGCGTCAGCCGGAAAGCCCCCGGCCGCGGGGAGGGTGCGCAGGCCGGGCGTTAGGGGGCCCGCCTGCGAGTAAGTGCCCGCGCAAGGCGGCCCAGCCGGGCGCGGCGCCGTGAACGAGCGGCGTCTTCAAGCGGCTCGGAAGCACGCTCGGTGCGCATGGTGTGATTGGTGGCGTCTGCAGGCAGTGTCCATGCTGTGCTTTGCGTGTTCGGCATCGCTTCCTCCAGATAGATTGCACCGCACAGCTTGCACCACGTATCTTGCATCGCAGAGCTCAAACTGCATAGCCTGCACTACATGGTTTGCGCCACATAGCTCGTACCACATATATTGAGCCACACAGCGTGCATCACGTGCATAACGTTTATCACCGAATTGGCAACACATAACTTACGGTGCCGCCTTTTATACATGCTCCGCGTGCGGCTCATGTATTAAAATGCACGGATTTACAATTAAAACCAAGGATGAGTTCATGCATGAATTTATTCATGAACTGATCATATAATAGAATCCCATAGGTAAACAAACATCCTATGTATTAAAAACTGCCCTGTACTCCACAATACTTGCACGACATGGCGTACAGTAGGCCGCATAGTTTGCACCACGTAGTTTGCATCATATAGCTCGCACATCTAGAGCGCAGGAAGTCACAGTTTGGTGTCCATGCTGGCAATCTTGGTTGTACTGTTGTACGCGCTGCTGGGTGTATGGATGGAAGCATGTGCGTTCGCAGCGCAAAAATGAAGCGCGCCAGGCAACAATCGCGCAGCGCTTGCCAATGCGGAAATTATGACAGCTCCAAGTCAGTATGCATCGCGGACTTCAGTTTAGAAATCCATTGAGTTGTGACGTTGACTAGCCCTGCGATAGAGAACTTGCGCGCGCGCGAAGCAAGCGCGTGGTTCTAGACAGTGGACCGTGAGATGCAGAAAGGAAGCGATCCCAAAATGACCCGAATCGTGACAGTGGCCGCTCTATATCATGCGATTTGGGCCTCAGCGCATTGCCAAGCAAACTGCCAGCCAGGACCTGCGCTATAGGCATCCAGACCGCCCGCACACTCCCAGCATGGCGCCCGCTGTTTCCCGCAAAGGTAATGCTGTCATGACGGCTCGCTTCTTGCACAAGACGCGCCTGTGTACTTACTATGCGAAGGGTTACTGCGCCCGAGGGGAAGACTGCAGCTTTGCGCACGGGAGCGACGACGTGCGCACAGCTCCGGACTTCTCGTACACTCAGCCGTGCAAGAGCTTCGTGAAGACCGGGACGTGCAGGCAGGGCGACGCTTGCAAGTTCGCCCACGCCCCGGGCAAGATGCTGCCTTGGAAATGCAGCGAGGCGGAGCACGACGAGCACGGTTCGCGGTGCGACCTCGAGGAGCGCGCGCGGGAGTGCGACCCGCCGAGGGCCGTGCAGCGCGAGCGGCAGCAACGCGCACCGTGCTTGGCCCCGTGGGCCCTCGACGGCCGCTCCGTGACCGCCGTCCCGGCCCCACGCCTGCGGGAGGTGCTTCGGGGGCGCGTAACCCAGACTCCCTCGAGTCATGAAGAAATCACGACGGAGAATGTGTCTGTATTTTCTAGCTCTGGGAGCCTTCACCAGGCTTCGGGACCGTAACAAAAACGACTCAGGATGAGAAACCGGTCCTGGGGAATAGGAGTAGCTTTCCGGGGACCCCGCATTGAAAAAATCACGGCGTCGGATCTTTCGGTACATGGGGGGCAGCGAGGGATGCCGAAGAGGGACCCTTGAGGGCCCCTGAAAAGGGCCCTTTCCAGGGGGCCTTTTTAGGGCCCGAAAAGGGCACTACTTCCCCCCCCCCCCGTTGATCTCGCACCCCCAGTCATTCGCGCCAAAGGTGACCGCGCTCCGTGGGCGGGAGCTGCCGTCGCAGTTAAAGGCCACCGTCAAGCGCACGTTCCTCCACTTCTTCGTGGCGGAGGAGGAGGAGGATGACCGGATCGGCTGCTGCCGCCGCTGTTCTTCGGCGCCGCCGGTGGCCCGGCTGGACTAGGTTCCAGGATCTACAAGGCGCTTCTCTTGCCGCGGCCCAGGCACAGCGCTTGGTACTACACTCAGGCCAGGCTCCAATGCTCAGCTGCGAGTGCTGGTTCCCTCACGGGTGCTAGCTCGCAGCGACAGGCATCGTTGTGCGTTTTTCAGCAAGGGTGCCCGATGGTGTCCAGATAATTACAAAGGCGCGTGCTCATCATGATTGCCTAGGCACGAAGCCTCATGGATCCATGGCCGACCCGACCCTCATACTCAGAATTGTCTGCATCGCTCTAATCACTCCTCGTCCTCGTCCTCCTCCTCCTCCTCCTCCTCCTCCTCCTCCTCCTCCTCCTCCTCCTCCTCCTCCTCCCCCCTCTCTCTCTCCCCGCTGTTCTGATTTGCAAGCGCCAGAGCCATCCTTCCTCCTGTCGGACTATTCGAAGTGCTGGACGACGAGAGGCGCTGGCCCAAAACAAGCGCTGGCCTTTCGAAGTCCACAGCTTGCGCCGGCCAGTCTGCTTTCCGAGCTCTCAGTTTAAGTTTCTTGGAAGACCACAAGGCGACAATTGTGCACCGAATTTTTGGGCTTGGAGAGTCCATTTTTCTCGTCAACAGTACCCTCCCCATCCCCGCCCGTTATCAGCCCTCGCCGCTCTAGTTCTCGCTCCCCACTCTTTCATCCTCATCCCTACCGTCACCAGCCTTCTCCGCTGCCCCTCCTTCCGTGGTAAGTCACCCCCGTTGGGTACCCACCGGAATTTGTTGGTGCCATGCTGGCCGAAGGCAGTCGCCGCGCAGTTACTGCAAGGTGCCACCGCGGTTCACAAATCTTGTGTATTGGTGGAGCCTGGTTTCTTCGTCCCTTTTGTTATCATCGCCCTTGCCGTCCCATCCGTAGTATTGCAGTGCTTACACAACGACGAAGGTAACTCTGAAGAGGTGGCGCGGGCCGAGACATGGCGGAAATCTCTGCCCCTTTCGCAGGTCGTTCTTATTTAATCGCTTCGCTCATTCCGCCGGCCCATAATGTCGCACCGTGGTCGCCTGTCCGAGTGGTCGTTTGCAGTGTGGAGCTGCGGCGTCGGGAGCTGTGTAGTTGTCGATAAATTTGTTGTTGTTTTTTCATGGGGGTTCTAGGTGTTGGCGGGGGCGATGGCCGCCGCCAACAATTCATCCTCCTCGCCGCCGCCGCCGCCGCCGCCGCCGCCGCCCGCCGGCGTCGTCGTCGTCGTCGCGGAGGGTCGAGGCTCGAGGCTGGAGGCCGAACGCGGGGGAGGAGGACCACCCCGGCCCGCGTTTCCCAAGTCGCGTCTGGCTGGAGTCTTGGAGGCGTCCTGGGGGCCTCCTGAGGGTTTTTTGGAGGCCTCCAGAGGGCCTTTTGGAGGCCTCTTGAGGCCTCTTGAGGGCCTTTTGGGGGGGGGCCTCTTGGGGCCTTTGGGGGCGTCTTGGGGCCTCCCGGGGGCCTCTAAGGGAATTCTGTTTCGTGAACCCCCTCTTGGGGCGTTCTTGAAGCGTTCTTGGGGCCCTCTTGGCCCGTCTTGGAGGCCTCTTGGGCCGTCTTGGAGCCATCTTGGGCCATCTTGGAGCCCTCTTGGGGGCCTCTTGGGCCCTCTTGGGGCGATCTTGGAGGCCTCTTGAGCCGTTTAGGGGCGTCGGGGAACCGAAAAGGTTGAAACGCCCAAATCTGTCCAAAACCGGGGAAAAAAAAAGCATTGTTTTTTGCCTCTTGGGGCCCTCTTGGGAGTTCTCTTAGAGACCTCTTGGGCATCTTGGAGGCTTCTTGGGCCATCGTGGAGACGTCTTGGGCCGTCTGGAGGCCATCTTGGGCGTCGTGGAGCGATATTCGGGCGTCTCGGACCTCTCTTGGACCGTGTTGGGGGCGTTCTTGGGGCCCTCTTGGGCCGTCCTGGAGGCCTCCGGGGCCGTCTTGGGGCCCTCTTGGGGGCCTCTTGGGCCCTCTTGGGGCGATCTTGGAGGCCTCTTGAGCCCTTTAGGGGCGTCGGGGAACCGAAAAGGTTAAAACGCCAAAATCTGTCCAGAACCAAAGGAAAAACACAGTTTTTTGCCTCTTGGGGCCCTCTTGGGAGTTCTCTTGGAGGCCTCTTGGGGCATCTTGGAGGCTTCTTGGGCCGTCTTGGAGACGTCTTGGGCCGTCCGGAGGCCATCTTGGGCGTCGTGGAGCGATCTTCGGGCGTCTCGGACCTCTCTTGGACCGTGTTGGGGGCGTTCTTGGGGCCCTCTTGGGCCGTCTTGGAGGCCTCTGGGGCCGTCTTGGAGCCGTCTTGGAGCCGTCTTGGGGCCCTTTTGAGGGCCTCTTGGGCCCTCTTGGGGCGATCTTGGAGGCCTCTTGAGCCGTCTAGGGGCGGCGGGGAACCGAAAAGGGTGAAACGCCCAAATTTGTCCAAAACCTAAGAAAAAGCATTGATTTTGGCCTCTTGGGGCCCTCTTGGGAGTGCTCCTGGAGGCCTCTTGGGGCATCTTGGAGGCTTGTTGAGTCATCTTGGAGACGTCTTGGGCCGTCTGGAGGCCACCTTGGGCGCCGTGGAGCGATCTTCGGGCGTCTCGGACCTCTCTTGGATTGTGTTGGGGGCCTCTTGGGGTCCTCTTGGGGCGATCCTGGAGGATCTGGGGGAGTGTCCCGGGCGTGTCCCGGGCTCCTCTCGGGGTACTTTGAATCCAGGGACCCCCAGGGACCGCCACGCGCGCGCGAACCAGAAATACTGTTTACCAGTTATCGGAGATCTTAGCACGCCTCTGGCCTGTTGGGCCGGCTAATTTTTGTCCGGGTCCGCACATTTGCCGGACGTTCACGTCCCGACTCGGTCAATGTTTTCGTCCCAGTCGTCGTCCTCCTTCTCCATTGGCGTAGTGCTCTAAGATCCGCGGCGCGTCTCGGGCACGACCCGCGCCCCCTTTCACGGGCCGACCCCTCGGGTTCGTGCTACGTAGTAGCGAGGGGCACTCGCAAGCTGCAGAGGCCCCGGCCCACCCCGATCTCGGCGATCCTTTTTTGGCCTCGGTGGGGGAGGCAGTCGTCAGCAGCAGTTGGTGGCTGTGCGCGCCCGCGCTTTCACGCACGGGTGCTCCTCCTTCACCTCCACCATCATACAGGGCGCTCCATACAGGATTGTGCTGTGCTTTCGAGGAAGTACACGGTTGGCATCTCGCCCTCGGAGGGTGTGGCGGAAGGCCGTCGGAAGTCAGCGGAAGTAAATGGTGAGCCCGCAAGACAGGTCAAGGCCAGGATGAGCGGGTTTTCGGAGCCCCCCGAATAAGATTGTCTTATTATTTTAAGTGCTACTGAGCTTCTACACCCTATCTCTGCCTCTGCGGCGGCTGCATGTTTCTGAGCGTCACACTCACGCTCATGCGTTTCGGGATTCGGCCAAAATCCACACACACAGAGTGCGATTCAACATGCATGCCCCAGGCCCTCGACTCCCAGCCCGCCCCCTTCGTGTATGAGTGCACCCCCTTTGGGGGGGGCCTTGTCAGCGTCGGGTCCTGGGACGCCCCGACAGGGCCACACGCAGCAGGCTCGGGCGGGCGGGCCCTCAGGAGCGTGTTCGGACGTTGGCGGGCGGGGCGGACGGACGGGACGCCAGTCAATGGGAGGAAAAACCACCCAGACAGGACAGCTGGCGTTGACGACACGGCCCTGGGGAGGAGGAGGAGGAGGAGGAGGAGGAGGAGGAGGAGGAGGAGGAGGAGGAGGAGGAGGAGGAGCGCCCCGGGGCGCCGGGGAGTGCAGCGCAGAGGCGTTTTTTCTGAACGGCCCTGCCCTGTGTGGTTCCCTCTTGGAGCGCGGTCGGAGCGCGGTCGCTCGGCGACCTCGCGTGCCAAGGGGTGGTTATCATGGGGGCGATTCCTGTCGGCCTCTGATCCGAGCTGGCGGGCCGGCTTCCAGGCCGCGGGGCGCGGTGGGCCCTGCCGGGCCGCTCGGGCGCGTGCGGGATCTGCACACGGGCGGGTCGGGGCCGGGGCGAGCGGACCCGAACGGGC